TGTTAAATCAACCCCTGTGAGAAAGTGGCGGAAGCTGGAGGAAGCTGAAAGCCAGGAACATAAGGCTTGTGAGCCATGGTCGCCGAGGCCACCAGGAGACAATGAGGATGGTGTTGGAGTAGATCTGTCAGACCTTGATAATTGTGCATTGGAGGAGTGGTGTGGGAGGGAAGAGGTACAGAGGGCTCAGGGACCATGTAGTCATATAGATTTCTCCTATCAATTTGAGTGCAATCCCTGTTCTGGAGCAGTAACAGGCACATTTTCTGCAGGAGAGGCAAAAGCACCCACCACTGATATGCTGTGCTTGCAGCATAGGATAAACACTTTATATCCATACACCACTCATGACTGTGTGTGGAGTCTGCCAAGGCAATCCGCCAGAGCGTTGCCATCTGTGCAGTTGTGGACCACAACCAGGTATATGTGGCAAGTGTAACACCATTCCCACAACTGGATGGCGAGGTACAGGAGCAAAAACAAATGGGTTTCACCTTGTTTGTTGACGTACAATACAACTGTGGAGTTGTCAGTAGCCATCTGAACACCATGCCCTACTAGAATGCTTTTGAATGCATGGAACGCCTTGATGATCATGAGAAATTCTAGTTGGTTGATATGGAGTTGTGCTTCTGCAGGAGACCACAGGCTGTTTATGCAGACATAATTGCAATGCGTGGGGCTGGAATCGGAGGTGACCTGTATATTCAGGTGGAGAGTTCGGAAAGCTCTTCCAACATAGAGGTTGTGTGCACTGTTCCACCAGGTAAGCTGTGATGCAAACCTTTTTGTAACTCTTAGTAGTTTGGAGGGTTGTTTGGTCAGTGTGTTGAAAAATGAGAGGTACCGCATCTTCAGGCAGGCATGTTGGGTTACTGTAGTGGCAGAGGCCATGAGGCCGAGTAGAATTTGGGCCAGATGCGCTGCGACAATTGCCTGTGGCTGGAAGAAGTGTAAGAAGATGTGAAGCTTCATGCACCATTCCTCTGGGAGGAACACTTGGGTTTGGTGGGAGTCGGGCACAGCTCCTATATAAGTGACCACCTGAGAAGGTTTGAGAACTGATTTTGAAAGACTGATCTGAAATCCCAGATCTGCCAAAAGGGACAAAGTGAGCTGGACATCCCAGAGTGTTTTGTCTCGAGATAATGCAACGAGGAGCCAGTTGTCTGGGTATGGGAAGATAGTGATGCTGCTACTGGTGAAAGGCATTTTGTAAATACTCAGAGATGTGAACAAGCTGAAAGGAAGGGATTTGAATTAATATGTGGAGTCCAGGAGAGCAAACCTGAGGTATTTAAGATGGTCTGGTCAGATGCTTACATGAGAATAGGCATCCCTCAATAATAATAATAATAATAATA